ATACCTTTTCAGTAGTAGATACACAACCAAAATTTGCTCCACCGCTCAACCTACTTATTAAGAGTATGTTTGTTTTGGATTAAAATCTGATTTTAATTCTAAATCAAAACCAAACAATTAATATTAGCCACATCTTTCATTGGTCCCACAATTTTTTAACCCTGCATTTCAAAAACTTTTATTACAATCTACTAAAAAAATTTAATTTCAATCCCCACCAAACACCCTCTAAATCTTTTGTCCGTACAATTTCCTTTTCTCCCACCTTTCCAAATATTGTTTTGTTGAGGTTGGGGGGGAGGGGGGCCGGGTGAAAAAGGCTTCAACTAATCTTTAATCATCAAATTGCAATTGAAAGATGGAAATGGAGATGATATATATACTCAAAATAGAAGGTGGAACTTTAATGACAAGGTTTGTCTTGTGCTGATCTAACATTAGATGCAAATTCAAATGCAAATTCTTATCATTCTTATCACTTTAAACGCATTTATATTATTTGACAGAAATTTGTGAATCCCAACAAGATAGAAAGATGGGTTGTTGCTAACTTTTCAGCTCCTTATAATGTATGTGGCCTTGTTAAAGATTTAATTAAAGTCGGACAAATGAAAGGAATCGTATGTTCCCCTAGTTTCTTTTGTGCTTAGTATTTGCCTTATCAAATTTATTGAAAATCTATTTTAATTCTTTCCATCCTGTCTTTAGAGTGTGAAGCCTTCGTTTGATGCATTTGAAAAAGGGGAAAAAAAATCATATATTAGATTTACTCTATATACCATTTCAAAAACAAGAAAATAACTTTGAAATTTCTAAAATCAGATATTTGACACACACACACACACACACACATATATATAGTTAACTCACCCCACCTCCACCACCACCTCTGTCGCTCCGACGACCGTTCCGACGGCTATTCCGATTCTGGCAACAATTCCGGGGACTGCTCTGATTTCGGCGACTATTCCGGTGACGGTTCCGCCGACGATTGCTCAGATTCCGGCAATTGTTCCAACTTCGGCAACTGCTCCGAACTGTGACTCTACAAAACAACATGTGACCTGTTAATATTGATCCGTGACCCGTTTATATTGATTTGTGACCTATAATTAACATGTGGTTGTGATCTGTGACCTTAACGACTGTGACTGTGATCTGTGACTGTGACCTTAACGACGAAATAATTAACCACAGTTCTATACAATATGGTCATAGCTATCAAATTAATTGATCATATAGATCTGTGACCCATCTATATTGATTTGTGAATTTTATAGGTCACGGATGATTTCTCGGTCACAAATCGAAAATTTTATAAGTCACCGATTATTTCGAGGTCACAAATCAATAATTTTATAGGTCACATATTATTTTCTTGATCACGGATTAGAAAATCAACATTTTTCTCGGTAACAAATCAAAAATTTTATAGGCCACAGATTAATTTTTCGATCACAACTTAATTAACTGTGAGTCACCGTTCGAATTTTAAGGGTCTCAGTTAACTAAAATAGTTGGTCACAGGTCAACTACTGGGTCACATACCAACACCACCTCCAATGTCTCCACCATCATTTGCGACCACGCTCACACGATGGCCGAAGACGCCACCATCACACCACCAACACCGCCACCAACAACCACCTCTACCGCCACCAAAAATCATCACCACCAAACATCACCGCCACCGCCACCACAACCACCAAACCCACAACCACCACTGCATCCAACACCGACATCACCACCGTTGTCGCCAGAACCAACAGCACCACCACCTCGCCGCCGCAGCCAATATCACAAACCACTACCAACAAAACACCAAAAACCACCACTGAAACCGTCGCCACCTCCACAGTCAAACCCCCACCTAACCACCAACACCCCCAAAAACCATCACAACAACCACCAACTTGACCATTAATCACCACCACCTAAAACCCCCCCACCCACCCACCCACCCACCAAAAAAAAAACTGACGTCATCACAACCTCACCACCACAACCAACTCCAACCTCATCAACAGAAATAGAAACCAAAATGTCTGCACCACCTCATTGCCACACCACGACTGACCACTGCACAGTAGATCGCATAAAAAATTAAAAAAAAATTATAGATTCTGGCAGATCGACCACCGCAAATTTAGCGCTGGAAGAGAGAGGATCGACATCGCAAATTTGGCGCTGTAAATTCGACCAAAGCAAATTCTGGCGATCGACCACCGTCGACACCGCTCATAGCCACGAGCTCCGCTGTGGTCTTCGTCAATGGTAGCCACGTGCAACAGAGACCGGAGATGATAGAGAGAGAGCGAGAGAGAGGAGGCGGGAAGAGAGGGTGATGAGAGTGGTAAATGATTTTTAGGATTTGGGGGTGAAATTTGTATATATAATATTTAATATTTAAATATCAAATATCTGATTTTTGAACAAATTATTAATATTTAATTAAATATAAAAAAAAACATGTATCTATATATAAAATATCTGATTTTTGAAAATTAAAATTTGACATCTAATTTTTGAACTTAAATCTTGAAAAGTAGGAATTCCTGTAATTTCCACTTGAAGAAAACCTACAGTATAGATGGGCTTCACTGCTTGTTCGGATAGAGTTGATGTTTGAAGACATTCAATAGAAACTTCCTAGAGCGCCCAAATTCCTTCCACAGAGAAAATACCATGACATTTACGATTTGTTATTAAACAATTGCTGTGATTACAAATTACTAATAAAAGTTATTTAACATGAACAAAATTTTTAAGGTCATTGGAAGCAGAAAAAAATGGCTGATTTTGGGGTGGTTACTCAATGCGTGGCCCACCAGAGTTAATGATCAGTATCTGACTCATCTTCCGTTGAAGATCAATGCAAAGGTAAGGTGCTCAATGATATTGTAAGTTATGTTAAATATTATGAGTTTTTGCCTTGATAATTTTCAAAGTGTGTACCTATGTCTTCTGTCCCTTGCATTTTTGTGTTTTCGTTGCTAGGTGGCTTAAATTCTGTTTTAGCTGTTGAACAAACTCCGTCTATCTCAATGTATAAACTTCTTAACTAAAATATCAAATATGCACCTTAGTTCATGTGCATACGAAAACCTCCATTCCTAAAAGAATCTCACATCGGCACAATGACATTTAGGAACATGTTATTTAGAGTGAATTTAGCAATGAGTTTTATTTACAAAATGTATATCTAAATATTACTGATTAATAATTGCCAGAGATTTAAGTATCCATTTGATCACAAGGGTGAAAAATGAGCTAAGGGTGCGTTTGATTGTAAGGGTGGAAAATGGGTGGAAAGAAAATGTTTTACAGGGAAAAGGTTTGCCTAGAAAATATTTTGCAGGGAAAACAATTTCAAGTGTGTTTGATTGGTATAATTTTTCACGTGGAAAATTTTTAAATTTTCTATTCGTTTGGCTTTATTTTACATGGAAATTGTCCATTAAAGTGATATTTTTTTCCACAATTAGTTATAAAATTCATTTCCATTGCCAAAAAGTGAAAAAAAAAAAATTGTTTCCTAAAAAATCATTTTTTTAATCAAAATTTAGTGTTCATTTAATTTTATTTTACATGAAAATTGTCCATTAAAGTGAAATTTTTTTTTACCATTGACTATGAAATTTGTTTCCATTGCAAAAAAGAAAAAAAAAAAAATCCAGCCAGTTTGGAAAATTTTTTCTCACCAAAAAGGCGGGAAAAGTTTTTCATCAAAAAGCCGGAAAATGCACACGTGTGGGCTAAACCCGGAAAATATTTTCCGTGGAAAATTTCGCCTATCAAACAGCCAAAAAAGTGGAAAGTGGAAAATATTTTCCTAGTTGCCTGTAAAATAAATCGTATCAAACACGCCTTAAAAGAAAATGAATTCCAGATAAAATAATTGCCTAGAACTTATTTTCCAAAAAAATGTTAATTAAGTGTGTTTGATTGATATAATTTTCCACACAAAAAATTTTAAAATTTTGGATCTTTTTGTTCACGTTTGACTTTATTTTATATGGAAATTGTTCATTAAAATGATTTTTTTTTTTTACAATTGATTATGAAATTTGTTATCATTGCCAAAAAAAAAAAGTTTACTCGAAAACTATTTTTTCATCAAAATTTAGTGTTTGTTTGGCTTCGTTTCACATTAAAATTGTCCGTTAAAGTGAATTTATTTTTACAATTTGTTATAAAATTTATTTCCATTGCAAATTAAAAAAAAGGGAAGAAGCTAGAATTCATTTTCCCACCAAAAAGTTGAGAAAATGAATTCCTTGAAAAGAGAGAAAATGGGCACGTGGGTATGGAAATTGAATTTTTTTTTTTTCCATTTTCCATGGAAAATATAGGCTATCAAACATTGTCTATATGAAGACCTACTGAACTTCCAAAATAATTCCATTCATATTCGACCCACTAATATTACCTTAAAAATAACATACACCATGCATTGCACGGGCATAAGACTAGTAAGTATAGAATTGTTGACCTTGGAAAAGGGTTTTTCATTAAAATCGAATCATTAATTTTCAACCTAAACAAGATTTAAAAATTGACTCATCATTACATTAGTTGTGTATCTCAAAATCTCAAATCTTAATTGTGTATTTTGTGCAAGTTAGTTTAATTAGAGTTCAATATATCTTCATGGAACAATATTTGGCTCATCATTATATTAGTTGTTAACGATTTTTCTTCCTGTGGAATAAAATTTGACAACACCTAGTTACCCCCAAAGAAGAACATGACCATGTTTACTATGGACATACTGATGAAGATTCAGTTGATTTTATATACATACTGCAGTCCTCGGCAACATAGCAGCATTTGATATGGACATGTACAAAAACAGAAGTAGAAAAGAAATCACATTGTTGAAAGTATCAAATTGAAATGTTTTATCATGAAGTCGTACATTCTCCACCTTAGAAAATGATGGTCATGAAGATATTCTAGTTATTGAACACAATATTCCTCCACAAGTGAAAAAGTAGCACTCAGCATTTGTTTGAAGCCGTCCTGTATTTTAACTGGTTTCTATTAAATGCAGTAAGAAAAAAGTGGCCATGAAGTCTATTAAATGGAACCAAATCAACTTGATAACAAATGAAAGAAAAGGAATGCAAACCCGGGCACAGGAGAACGCAAAATCAGACAGTGACTATTTTAAATAAACTGCTGTAACTATTACCTCATTAAGTTTCTTGGTGGGTCCTTCAACTTATCAGCACCATCTTGTACATTTCCATCTGTTAATAAATTATTTCCTGAAGCTAAGGAATCCGCAATCTCCTTGAGACCCTATAAGAAAGACGGGATTATTCAGTACATAATCATACGGTGTAGAAGGAAATTAAAATAAAACAATTAAGAATTTGGTTTCGGTACATAATGTAAATTGGAATGCCATGTCATTGAAATAAAATAAACTTAAAAAATTTGCGTTCTATTGTAATTGGATGTTGGCAATCATTCAATTCTACAACTCACCTCTTTCTTCAAAATCAAGGAAGATGTTGATGTAAATGAACTTCAAAGACCAAGAGTATTACATTTTGTTGTCTTCTTCATTCAACTTTTGACACGTGATATTATGGGGTTGAGTAACAGAATCAGTTAACTAGCATTTCGGAGGCAACAATCTATACGCATGTTTATAGCAAGCACATTACAAATATACCTTCTATTGCAATTCGTAGTCATTGAAATCAAGAATTTTCCACTTATCCTCAATTTCAAGGAACACACCGATGTAATAAACTTCAAATTACAAGCTCCAATAACAAAGATGATTACTTCTGTAGTTCTTCATTCTCTTTTTTTCCCCATATCAAAATGGGAGCTGATGTTAGCACAACAAAACAGTAACCTAGCAAATTGGAAAATTTTGTATCCATATATCAGCTCATTTCAAGTTTACATTTTACTGTAAGGCAATAATTTGATTCAACAAATTGCCTCTTTCCTCAAATTCTAGCATGCATCAGTAAATGAACTTCAAACTACAAGATCTAATAACATATATAGTTTTTTTCATTTTTCAATAATTTTTTTTTTCTTTTTGCGCATCAACCAGAACCACAAGATATCAACTACATTAAACAAGATCGTGATCTTTAAATCCACCTATTGTTTCCATATGATTAAGCATAGCAGTATTGACATGTTTCGTGTCTAAAAAGAAATATTCTAGCTATTCTATTAATTTTTCCGTGAAAAAATGATGTATTAGAGTAGCCGAGTCAGAAGAGGTACCATCAGACTTGGCACTGAGTTTCCGACAATCTTAAATTGATCCTGCACAAAAACAAATAATTTTAAAAATGACCAGCAACAAGTCTTCGATAATCAAATATGAAATTGGAGGACATCCCCAAACTCAAGAATGCAAAAATTATTTGAATATATGAAATATAATTATCAAAAAATATGGGAGAGAGAACTATTATTTAGCCAAGAAAAAACTGAAATAAAAGTCAGTTATGCTTCCACAATGTAGAACACATTATGAGAGATGTGAAGGGCGATGATAGCACCGTACAGCCCAAAAAGAATACAAAGAAACCTAGTCATCCACACATGAAGGAAATGATTCAAATGAGAATGGGATAAAGCACAATGAAAATGAAAAGTAAAATCATAAGATATAACCCCAATTGAATGCAAAGAAAACCTAGTCAATCCACACTTGAAGGAAATGTTTCAAATGAAAATGGGATAAGGCATAATGAAAATGTATTTTAAAAGTAAAATCAAGCAGCCTCTAGAGAAGTGGCTAGCATTAGCCATCCCTATGACTTCTATCCAGTTTGCTTGACGGTAACTAAGATACTACATGACACACAATATATTTTATTAATAGAAGCTTGACAACGAGGAGACTAGATGCTTAGCTAGGTACTCATGGTGGATTAAAGAAATCTTTAGCCCATGTTTGACAACCATTAAAATGAGTTTTTGGGAAAAAATAAGTTTTGGAATAGTGATTTTATAAAGAATGCGTGGTTAAAAAGTAGAAAAGCATTTTGAGTTTACGTGCAGAATATTTTATTGTGAAAATGTGTGGTTGAATACTAGGATGAGAAAAAAAAAGTTATGTTTAAGGACTGAGTCAAGTATCCGACTAAAGTAATATATACAATATCAATGAAATTCTGGTTCTAGCTGCTCCAACTTTCCACCCTCCACAGCCAGCCATTATTAAGGTTTTGAGCCAAACTAAGAATATGGAACAATCTAAACTGAGAATCTAGCAAATTATGTAGCATATGTTGGGCAAATTGAAGAAACAAGAGTTCAGTTGCATTTTCAAACCTGGGTCAGTTCAGGCATTTTCCCCTTCCTTCCACTGACAATGTTACACAGATACATCACCCCAGCATTTGTAAGCTCCTATTGCAATAAATAACCGATGAAAAAAAAAAGGATTAATCATCAACTCAATGATACATCACAAATAATCAATTAAAGAATTATTTGTTATCGGGACAGTAAAAACCCAAAAAGCAATTTTCCTCAGCACCAAAAATAGGAAGAATGGAAGAGAATTACAGTTTGTGAAATGCAAGACAATGGAAGATGTTTTACCTGTTTGCCTTCCAATGAGAGTAGTTTGCCATCCTGCAATTCCAAACATAAAAAAAGCAGAGTTTACATGAAAAAATGAGGAAGCAATAAACCAGACAATAATATAAACGTGACTGCAAAGGACACTAAAATGGCTCATCAACAGCTAAAGAAGAAAGTCTAAACGTTCAATTACTTCACTTCATTAGATAATTTTGACACAGAAAAACGTACAATGTACATTCAATGCAAACTTACACCTCCAGGTTAGAACAGCTCTTGGATAATTACACCATATACAAATATAATTCTTTAAAAAAACAAAGAACTTAATAAAAAACTGAACTTACCAAACCAGATACCATCCTATGCAAGTCATCCAAATCAAAGCCAATTTGAGAGAGATCACCACGGACATCATTAACCTGTTTCACAAGTTCAAATTGTTGGATATTATCATTCTGAGCAATATTCAATCCATTTCAGATTTCGTTTCAGTTACCACAAGCAGAGATCATAATTTGATTCCTCATATTCATCTAGCTAAAGAAGCTAACTGAATTTTACCTTTTAAAGCCAACCTTTACAGGAAACTGATAGTATGGTTACTATGGTATATTCTACTGTATATCATAGAAAATCAACTACATTTTTAAGACAAAAAAGAATAATTATTCCATCTTAAATTACCTCGCTCCTAATTAATTTCGAAATCTCTACTTGCTCGTCTAGTTTCCCATCCAAGTTCTCAATTCTCTGTGTCAAGTGCCGTTTTGTTGCCTGGAAAAAAGACCACCAATGGAAAATTAAGCTAAATAGAAATCCCGCGTGCATCGAAAAGTAGCACCATATTATGATAAAAATAAATATTTCCTGTAGAATAACAGTGTATCTAATAACAAACAAAACATGTACTGACCATAAACTTGAAGCAAAAAGGGCAGCTAGCAAAATCTTACAAGAGAAAACTACATAACAGATTCAGAAAGGAGGAAGCTCTCTTATATAGCAATATTTCTTGAGTACTAGTAAAATCGGAAAAACTTGCAGGAAATATCACCATTAGCAATGCATGTGCAGAAGTGGAAACAAAAGTCGCAAAATTTAATCTAGCATCAGGATTGCATGATTAACAGGTACTTACAGCAAGAGCCTCTGACACATGCTCCAAATGTTTTGTCAAGTTTGCAACAGCATTTGTCATGTTTTGTTTCGTTACATACATTAGGTCTGAGAAAGAAAGTCCCTAATATTTAAAAAGGGAGAAGAAAGAAAAAACAGAAAAAGAAGAAGTAAATCAGTCCCCCCAAATAATGCATATCAGCAGTATAATAATGATTACACGCATTCCATATGACATAATGTAAAAAATATGCTGTCCTACCTTCCACCACATGTATCCATAACCCAAGGCCCCCAAAGCAGCAGCTGGCATTATAAGAGGCGTCAAGTTACCTGTGAATGAGAGAAACAGATAGTGTAAGTAGCTTTGAACCACCACCAATCTGATGCGAGTAAAAGATACTAACTTGAGCCAGAGTTCCCATTTATAACAGTAATCTGTTTAGATGAAGCCAATTGGCGCACTTCCATTGCTAACCTACGAACCTGGAAAAAATAAACCACGAAGTCGAGTAAATATTGCATGTTCTTTAAAATTAAAAATGGTACACTTTGAATGCTTCTAGTCCCATATATGTTATGAATAAATAAATTTTTCAAAATAAATGTTAATGGCAGAGAGCAATCTTAAACATTGAGGAAAAAAGAAAATCCCCAACTAAAGTCAAAATCAATTAACAAATAGTTCACATCTATAATTTTCAGATACAAGGTTCAACTTCCTCCCCTTACCCACAATTGCTTCTAGCCACTTACTAGTTCTATTACTCTTAGATTTAATGGATAATCCAGCCTCTTTAATTTTTGAACATATATTAATATAGATACTGATCTTCTCTTCAATATTTACACTCTAAAGAAGACAATTACAGAAAAAATTTGATAAATAGATAAGTTGCAATTCAATATCTAAAGGCAAAAGCAGTTCATACGTATCAGCGAGAATTATTTTTCCATCAGTAACTAGAGACATACTTAAAAGAATCAAATCATCTCCATGTCTACTACACATGACCAATAAGCTTAAGGCATTCTTGTCAGATGAAAGCCACTCTTACATATATTTCTCAAGTCGGGTATATAAATATACACGTACTAACCAAACAAATCTGTACTATAAATGAAGATCATTAAGCATCCTTCAAACACCCTCCCCAAACCCAGAAAAAATATAACACAAAGAAAAAAACAGCCTCTGTTTATTCAACTCATTGCTGGCCACCATTTAATGGTTGCTGAGTTTCACATTTACCAGATTTGACTATTCAAGAAGAAAGTACCATTGGAAAGTTCAAGAAGATATAACACTATTTCAACCGAAAAAGAACAAAAATGCCCGAGTACAAATTTTTTGTTTTCTTTCTTTCTGCTTGTGCCCAAACCACAACCGGAATGCTCTCACGTTATCTAAATGATATGTTTACAAAGGATTACAATAGGAATTTTGTGTAGTTTCCTTCTTCTTTTTTTATTTTGGTGTTTTCTTTTAACTTTTTGAGTTAATGGTCCTCCAAGCCTCTTTGTGTATGCATGCACTGATGTCTCACGAAATTAGCTACTTAATAGTCAAAATTATTTTAATGCTGTTTAATTATCAAACATACTCACATAGAATGCTTTTGGAACTAAGAATTTATCTTGGACAATTTAAATCCAAAAAGTTGTCCAATGCAATCCAAAAGAATATCAAGCAACAAAAAGTGGGAGTAATTCATATTTTCATGTCTATCGTAATGATCAACAAATAACAGTAGCATGCATTCCTTCTCATGGTTCATGATCTAAAATTTTTTTTGTTTCCCAACGGTTTTCTTCCATCAAGGTTTAGAATGATAAAATAGTGGGAGGTCTTAGCAATGTCATTTGATGCAACAACTTTACAAGTCAAGGTAGAATTACCATCAGTAAGAATTGAAAAAGAAAACACGTTGATGAACAAGAAAACCAAACATCACCTTGCAAAATTAAGCTTTTAATGATCAGAGAATTTCCCTACAAGCCTTTTCGCTCGGGCTATTCCACGCATCATTATGCTGCCATGCCTTCACTGGGAGTTGGGCCCCAGCATTGATTTATTTCTTGTCCCAGCGATTCGAACCTAAGACCTCCATAAAGAGAAACTTAAGTTAAATGCTGGCCAATTGGTACCAACATTCAATTTAAGTTCCTCCTAAGGGAGGTCTTAGGTCGAATTGTATGGGGTCGTGAAATAAATCCATATTGGGCTACCCCTAGTGAACAACATGTTTGCAATGATGCACGAAATGGGCACTAAGCAAAAGGGCTTGTGGGGAAAAGTCTGTGATTGTTACAAAGCTGTAGCCATTGTTTATAGGTCAGTATTACCTGTGCAGCGATGGCATCAGAGTACTCAGAGTCGCTCCCATCTGATTCCCCTGATTTTTCCATTCCTTTTACCAAATGCTGCCAAATACAATGCATACTAGGATTAGGATTAAAAATTTAATATCCCAAATCTGAGAAGAAATTTCACAATCCATATCTAAGAGAGTATACTGCTAAAGTATCAATGCACATTCAAAAGTTTATTTTAATTTAAGAGAAATAAAATGCTCATGCACTACACCATGCTCCAAAATCGTTAGTAGACTCTTTTGCAGAAGCACCTTGATTATTTTTCAAACAACATAAGCTTCAGGCATCATCACGGACACTAATTTAGGCTTTTTTCAATTGCCACTAACAAAATACAAGAATTTAAAATGTACTAATTTAGGCTTTAGCACCAAAAGTAAGCATCCGGGTGCCAAGAATTCCAGTATAAATATCTTTAAAAAAAGAAAAAAGAAATACAAGCACCTGTAGTTCACCCAATACATCAGACAATTTACCATTCTTTAACAGTACCGTTCCAGTATACCCTAATTCATATCGAGAAACAAATTAGAAAGTTGTGTGTAGTCAGATCAAACTCGAAATTCAAAAATCCCAAAAATAAATGTAAAAATATAATCTTACCTGCACCGACTAGGATCAGGATCTTGGAGAAGCCTAAGCCAGCGTTCATAGCCATGGCGGCAGATCAGCAAAACTTGAGCTGCCAAGTCGTTTTTGTATTGGAAGAGCTTTCAATAGAGAATTGTCTTAAGAGGAGAATTTATAGTTTCAAGGTTAGAACTGCTAATTGGCTAATGTGTGAAAACAAAGATATACAGGTAATATTAAAAATAAATCCAATTTTTTACTTTATTTTTTAATCATATATTTCTCATCATATCACTATTATAATATATATTTTTTGATGGGGGCTCAAACAAACCCTATATATTTATATTTAGCTCATGTTTGGTACCGATTAAAATCTAAGTCAAAAGTCAACAATTAATTTAAACACATATTTCATTAATTTCTATCAAAATTTAATAAAAATCTAATTTTAATCTCCATCAAACAAGGGTTTATATTTATTTTTATTTTTTAAAAATACATTTTAAACTAAAAAAATATAGAATCAAAATAATTAGGTGTGTTTGAGCCACATTATTTTGAAAAAATGTATTTTAGAATAGTAGATTGATAGAGAATGTGTGGTTGAAAAATAAGGAAAAGTTATTGATGTGATGAAAAATATTATTTTATTGAAAAACATGTAGTTAAAAATGAGTAGAAAAATAAGAATGAAAATTTTAATGTGACTTGTCGGGTTCTTATAATTTAGAGCTCAGAGTAGGAGAACATGGTCTCTATTGCCATACCATATAACAATCAAGACGGAGGTAGATAATTTTGCCATCTTCTCGTAAAATCTCTATAAATTAATATTTTTATACTAAGAAAAAAATGTTAATTTATCAATGAATACTTTATTAATTTATTAAATTTTGAGTAATATTCTTAGTATTCGTAAGATTTTATTAGGGTAATTAGCACATCATATCCATATCTTTCATTATTATTGTAGAAAATATCTTTGTTTTTCATTTTTTGACATTTTCATCATTAATTATACATTTGATTGTGCAAAACATTATTTTCATTTAATTTCTTCCTTAAATGAAGGGTATTCTCGTTATTTTTCTCTTTCTTCCTCATTCGAACCATTTTCCCTTATATTTTCTCATCTAAAAACAAACATTTAGACCTTGTTTGAGCCACCTTTTTGTAAAATAAGAATGAAAACTATAGCCTTTATTGAGGTCCATACAAGAGATAGAAAATTTGAATTTAAATGTTTATGTGATAGATAATTGTCATATTTATATTTTTCATTTTAATGAAAAATAAGGTGGCCTGGCTTAGTGAGTGTTTGACACTCATTTTAATGGGTTGAAAAATTTTGGAATAGTGATTGAAGGGAGAATGTATGGTGGAAAAGTGATGAAAAGTTTTAGATTTGGGTGTAATATTATTTTATTTAGAGAATGTGTGGTTGAAATGAAGAAAGTGAATGAGTATCAAACATGGGTTTACTTTCTTCACTAAAAATTTATTTACACACAAATCACTAGTTTTTGGTGCCTTTGAATTCAAAATGATGTCCTTATTATTTTCCTTGTGTAGGTAGTATTCAAAATTTCAACGCTACCAAGCAGCCAATCATTTCTTGTGGGCAAACAAGTTTAATAAGAGAAGCAATGAGGTCGATCAAAAGCAGTTTTTTCCAACTTCAACAAATAAGCCCTTGTTGAAACCCCATTTTTGGATTAAAAAATGTATATTTGAATAATATTTTGTTGTAGATTGAGTGGCTAAAAGGTAATGAAAATTTTTCGATTTACGTGTAATAGTATTTTATAGGAGAATATGTGATTAAAAATGAGTTTTGAAAAAATGGGAGTCAAACATGGTGTAAAGCTCTTTTGCTTTTGGGGTTGATCAAAAGCTTCATGATCAATTTGGATTCTATCATTTCTTTTCTCTCGGCTATTCTAGAGTTTCAGTATGTTTAAAGAGAAATGCTACATTTACAACCTTTTTCATGTACATTTTGACAGCCCTCTCTCATGGGGGGTGTGGCCCATAATCATGGGCACCACACTCATGTGAGAGGGCTGTCAAACTTACTGTGTAAAAAGGCCGTACATTCAGCCTTTTTCATGTTTAAAATGTCTTTCAATAGTACTTATTTTTACAACATTGATGAGGGGTTTGATAAGTCTTCTCTAACTATTCAAGTTTCCAAGATTTCTTGTCATCCGTGTCAAAATTCTTGATTTTTGAATGGTTTTGTAGAATATTATAGACAACACGTTGAGAAACATAAATTCATAGTTAAGACAATAAATGTTAGTTTTCAAAGGAAGAAATAGAGGAGAAAATGAGTTCAAATCAAGAAGAAAGAAGAAAAATGACGAGGGTACCCTTCACTTAATAGAGATTGAATGAAAATGGATGACAAAAGACATTTTGTGCAATCAAATGTGTAATTGAGAGTAAAAATGCTAAAAATGAAAAATATGGACTTTTTCATAATAATAAGGAAAATGTGCTAATTACGCATTTTATTATTATTTAGTAGGTTATTGGGTTTTTATGAGATTTGGATATTACCCATACCTATATAAGGAGATGGTTAAAATTGTTTATAAACACAACTTTAATTCATATATTTAGTCCCCATTTGGCACCCATTTTTTTCTTATTCTCATTTTCATTTTTTTCTCTTTCTTTATTTCAACCACGCATTTTATCAATAAAATAATATTACACATAAATCTAAAAATTCTCCTTACTTTTTAACCACATATTCTTCCATCAATCACTATTCAAAAACTATTTTTTTTTTTACTAAAATGGGTGTCAAACACCTCCTTAATTGTTTCTCTCAAAATAGTCTATCGAGCCGTTTTAAATTTAAATAATTACTTTCAACAAAATAAAAAAACAAATGTAGTATATGCATTGCAAACAAGTTCGATTTGAGTATAAATAAAATACAAACAATTTTAGATACATATTTTAAGGGAAATAAAAACTGTAATCAATATATAGAAGTTGTCAAACAAAAAGTTATTTAACACGTGCTATAAAATTTTGTCTATTAATTAGCCCTGTTTGATATGGTTGTTTTTTCATGGAAAATTGAATTGATTTTTCATTTTTCATGTTTTTTGGTGTTTGATAGCATTTTTTTCCATGCCAAATATTTTCCACCCTCCCCCCACACGTGCACATTTCCCTTAAATTGGTGAAAACTTTCTCATCATTTAGGTGGTAAATAGTTTTCCAGGTGCTGCTGTGTATTTTATTATTATATATATTTTTTGAAATAAAAATAAATTTCATAATCAATTGTAAAAAAAAATTCACTTTAATAGACAATTTCTATGTAAAAAAAAGTCAATCAAACACTAAATTTTAATAAAAAAAAAAATGATTTTTTAGGAAATATTTTTTTTCGTTTTTTTTTTTTTAACTTTTTGGCAATGGAAACAAATTTTATAAGCAATTGTGGAAAAAAATTATCATTTTAATGGACAATTTCCATATAAAATAAAGTCAAACGAATACAAAATTTTAAAATTTTCAAAGTGAAAAATTATACCAATCAAACACATTTAATTACCAATTCCTTGCAAAACAATTTCTAAACAATTACTTTCCCTGAAATTCATTTTCTTTACACCTATTTTCCATATTGCAATTAAACGGACCCTTAGTTATTATTTCATATTTTTCATTGTCCTTGAAAGGATTTTAAACATAGTATTATATTATTCATTTAGCAACATTATTAATTTAGTACACCAATTCGAGCTGAGACAAAAAAAAAAAAAAAAATTATTTAAATTAAATTATTAATTTATCAAAAATTCATTTATCTAAATTTTACTTTAATCATAAAATATTGGTCAAGAAATATCACCTGCTAATTTGTACAAATGGTCCCAACTTGAGTTCTTGGTGCAAAATCAAGTTCAATTCTTTCATTCTTGGTACAACTGTCCTCGTATCAACGTTTTAGTGCACAAATGGTCATTTCTATCAGTTTTGGCCGTACACATCACATTGTCAACTTCTAAAAGGCCAACAAGATCAAAAGGGCAGTTCTATTTTAAAATGGATGGTTATATTGTCAACAATAGTTTTTTTTATTGTTGCATTATTTTATAATTGTATTAAAGTTTCCAATATTTGCTAATTATCGTATTTTTATTCCAAACTTTTTTTCATGGCATTCTTATCATTAAAATTTTATTAATTAGCATTTATTATCTCATTTCCATATAAAGGATTCCTTAATAGAGAATAAAAAGACTCCTTTAGTCCTCTGCCTATTATTTCAAAGTATGTAACACAATATTTAGATATGAACTATCATCACACACTATCTTTTATTCTCATTATTGTAGAATGAGAATGAAAAATATAATCGTTATTGGGCCGCACACAAGAAATAGAAATTCAAAATTGATGGCTTGATGTGATGAATAACGGTCATATTTTCATTTTTATGGATGAAAAATGAAAAACAAACGAAGGCTATATGTGATCATTTACAAAAAAAACTAAGGCCTCGTTTTCCAACTTGTGAAATGTTTGATATGCAAAAATTTTTCGAGAAAATATTTTCCAACTTTCCAAATTTTCCACCACTTTGAGGAAAATAAATTCTTGATGGTTTGGTGGGTAAATATTTTCCAATTTTTTTTTTTTTTTGCCAATTTGAAAAAATTCTAGACACAATGGTAAAAAAAAAAAAAAAAAAAAAAAAAAAAAAAAAATTTTATTAAAAATTTAAAAAAAAAAAAAAAACTTAAAAAGTGACCAAAAACTAAAAAAAGTGATAAAATCTAAAAAATTGACAAAATGTCACTTTTATAAAATTGACGAGTCACTTGACATCTCTAGATGGTACTGCATAAAATTAAGTGACACAATCTTTTTGTTAGTAAAAAAAGTTACCAAGAAACCAAAAAAGTTACCAAGAAACCAAAAAAGTAATAGAAAAAATGAAACGCTATAAAAAGTGACCGAAACTCAAAAAAGGTGGCAGGATTTTAAAAAAAAAAGTGACAAACATTAAAAAACATTGCCTTTGTCTAGACATGCTTGAAAAGGCAATTAAATTGCCTTTGTCTAGACACGCTTGAAAAGGCAATTAAAACTGCATAGATGAAAAAAACCCACAAGTCAAATATTTTGTATGGCAAAATCGAAGAAGCTCTTCCTACTCTAACAAGGCTACTAAATTTGCTTCTATAGGGGATTTGTTTGGAGCAAAAAAGCCCCTTTGACATCTCAAGTTACTACCAAAATATATGTGAGTAGTGCTATGGGCACATAGCACTACACATAGCGCCCCTCCAATGGAGAGGCGCCACCTCGCCTTTATGTGAACAATTATGGGAAATGCTATGTACCAATAGCATTACCCAATATATGTTTATCGACAAGATACAAAACTGTATACAAACTATGCTTATAGAGATTCATTCATTGAACCATTGCACAAACTCTACATGCAAATGTTTATATGCAGCAACAGACAATACTAAACCAATTAATTCTTGTTTTCCAACAATTTTAACAAAAACCCTATAATCATGAACCATAATGAGACGCAACAAACATTCATACAAACTAATTCATCAATCCAATAAACCATTGAAAACATGATAAGCAAGTGGCAAAAAGAACCAAAACAATATCCCTGTTTGCAGCTGCCCACTCCTTATATTTGTTGGAATTTCAACTATATTGCTTTAAGAACATCTCATACCTCTCCAAGCACATATCCCTGGTATCCCTCTCTGCCATTTCCTCCACCTTGTCATAATCCACTCTCACTGAGGTTTTCCTGACTCATATCTGGTGAGTGAACCTTCTATCTTGGCTCCCAAATATACGAGCTAAACCAAAATCAGCCAGTTAAAGATGTCTATCTGCTCTAATTAACAAGCTGGGTTTCATATCCCCGTTCACAAGTCGAACGAGATGAAAGTAAATGGGTTAAGAAGCTGGATTCCACCACACAGTGAGCTTAGATTAAGAAGCTGCAGCTAGGGGAGGCAAACAAGATGCCTCTTGGAAGAACTTGGGAGGAGAATCAGTTTCGTCAATTTCATATCGGTTTTCAACCTCCTTTTCTTCATTAGCATCCCACAAAAAACTAGCATATGAGTCTAGCACATAACAGTCATTGGGGTCAGTTTTAATAGCTCGATCAAAATAAGCTTCGGCTCGAGCATCATCCTTTTTAGTCTGCCATATTAGATCAACATAGAGTGATAAAACACTACCATCACTTGGATCAGCCAAAATTGCCATGCCACAATACTCTTCTGTTTTTGCAAAATCTCCTTTAACCTCTTTCAAGAACTTGGCATAATTTGCTAACAAGAGAGAATTGCTAGGATTTGCTTCAATCATTTTTTGATAATAAGAATTTGCACTCTCAT